AATAATAATAATAATAATAATAATAATAATAATAATAATAATATAATTATAATTGTTAAGTACTCAAAATACCCAGCACTTGACGGAGAAATTGGTCTAACATTTATTTTTATTTTACCTCGATGAGCTAATATTGCTCGTTTGCCATGATTGTGCCAAGTCATCAGTTTTCGATGAATAGGAATTTGATGTCAATAACAAATTTAAGCCATTTTTTTGCTTAATCTTTTCAGTGTATTTTTTACAGGCACCTCCAGAGGTACCAATGGCACCAGCTGTACCACTAGCATTAGCACCACAGCTGCAGCTACCAGTAATTTTAGATCGAACTGCCTCATTTTCTATACTTTGTTCTCCTTTTTTGCTATATTTCTCTCGTTTTCTTGACCTCCTATAATTGCTTACAATGGAATAAAATTTTATTTACTTATCAAGAAATATTGGTCAGAAAATACAAGTAAAAGTCAATGCTGAGGAAATTACTTATGCATTTACTAACTTTGCAAGATTAAGTCAAAGCAGTCCAGAATGAATAGTAATCAATCATCGTTTCTAGCTAAACATAAAGAAATAAAAGAAAAATACTTCGAAAAGCTGAAAATAAAAACTTTTTTCGCTGAACTTTTTTGAATATGCGATGAAAAGTGCTTCTGCTCTTTATTGTTGTTGTTAACTTAGAAGCACAAATTATTCAACAGAATAAGTAATTAAGTTAGTCTTTTTATCCCTTCATAATACATAAATAAGTCCACTTTAATCTCTTCCATAATTTCAGAAAAAACTAATTCAGTGCTTATAACTGTAATTGATATGCACATCAGAAATTAATATCTTGCTAAAATCTCGTCTAAGATCAATTTTTTGCGAATACTTTAACTAAAAATGATCATTTGTTTACTAAAATGTATACATATTACTTTTTATCATCTCTAAATATGCAAAAGAATTGCTGATGTCTATTATTAACGTGAAATAATTGCCGCTACTCTGTCTAAAATCTACGAATAAAGAAGTAACCTAAGATTGAAAAATATAGATGATTTTCGAAGTGGTGGAGGAGTAGTATTCAGCACGACACGATGTAAATTATCAGAACTTTTGGAGCTCTTAACAATAGTTAGATGCCGTTGATTCAGTACTGATAACGAGCAACTTTCTCGAAGTTGTGGCTTAGTCTGGTCTCGATCCATATTAGCCAACCATAATCCTGTAGCTTTACTTGCCAATATCTTTCTAATGTTTAATTTTGTTAATTATACCTAAGTTTTTTGATAATTTTCATAATTCAATTAAATGATTTGCATCGTTTTTTAAAATCCTTAATCTCAATTGATGGCATATTTCCAAAAACTTATTTTTGAATTGCTTTTCAGTAAGCAACTTTTTCTCAACTTAAATCATCGTATAATTACTTTGATAAGATTAACTTTAATGAAGTAAGCCCATGTAAATTGTATTAGCTATATTAATTAAAGCTGTTTAGAATGAATAAAATAGGCAATCAGTATAGTATCACATGACTTTATTATTATTATACACTGGTATAAAATTTTTCTTCTCCATATATTGAAGTATTTTGTGATCTATAAGTAATATAAGTCTATGATTAGTTCTAATTATTATAATTTAATATTTGGCTGTAGAGTACAAAATCAATTTAAAGTCCATTTTTCGACAGATAATATGTTAAATTAAATTAGGAAATGGGACAGAAGAAAATAAAATTGAAATGTTCATTGGGAATATGGCAAAATGAGTCAAATGCTTTTCATTTAAATAATGCATTACTTTTTATTGGCACTTCAATTGCCTCTCACTTTCATTCAACTATTTCTATTCTATTAAAAACAAATAAATATAATAATTGTATGGATGAATACATCCACTGATCAGCACGTGTATGCATACATTTGTAAATGCTGCATACATAACTGAATTTATAGCCACCTTTGACCTGTGTTTGCCTTTCAAAAACTTTAAAATTATAATCTTTTTCTATTGATATTATTTGTAAATGACACTTCAAATGTATTTTCAAAAAAAATTTAGTTTGACATTATAAATGGCAATGCAAAACAGTATAAGACAAATTACAATACTTTATGATCATTTATTTAACTAACTGTATGAATTAAATCGTACATAAAAATGGAAATCAGATAAGTTTGTCAAAAATCTGTGAAAGCTTTAAAATCAAGTAAGCTAAAAACTAATTCGTAATATCGAAGTATTTTGAATTAAGCAAAATACATGAAAATAACCGAACCGATATGTGAGGTTAACTTGCTCCACATGATTCTTGCTTATGTATAGGCTGAAAGTGCAGTAAAATGTAGAATATTTGCAAATATTGCGTTTTTTATCTGATTAGCAATTTTGATTAGGTGATAAATATTATCAAAAGATTTGACTGATAAGCCATTGTTTGCCCTCCATGAAACCTCGAATTTACAAAAAGCACCAAATAAGCCTGAAAATTGTGGCATTGACAAACATAAAAACGGATGAGCAGGAATTAAAAGGCTGATCAGAGGATATGACGGGCTAAAATGCTAATGACTAGGCTCAGACTAGTGCCTTGTCATTATGTCCAAAGCCAAGTTCAAAACTCAAAAAAAAATAAACTTTCAAAATTGCAAAACAAAATATTCAAAATAACAATTGGTGCAAAATAACAACTGGAGCAAATACATTCATGGACATTTTTTTCTCATTAAATTTAGAAAAAATTATCACCAAGTGATTTTCTTCATAATGAATTGAATCTTCTCGAAATTAACTTTGATAAAATTTGAAATGAAAATTTTATCAGTTCATAATGAAAGAATGTTATTAATACTTCCTAATAATCTCCGAAATTAATTAATTTTTTGTTCTCAATCAATCATAAGATCTAATTCCGAGCTGAACAAATCTCAAATATGTGACAGTAAGCAGGAGGAACAATTTTCGATATTCTGTGAAAATTTTTCTTCGCATTTCACTTTTTATCAGCTGAAGTCTCAATTTGAATTCAAGCTTGATCTACAAGCAAGCAAAACAACCCAAATGCCTTCATACGCTGTTGCTGTTATCTGCATTATTGATAAAAAAATTTTCGAAAAACGCAAAATATTTGTTTCATTATATTTAGTAAAAACGCTATTTAACTAAAAAAATTTTTGAAAAACCCAAAATCTATGTTTTATTAAA